TTCAAACCTTCGCATCGAATCTGCATTGCCTGCTTGAAGGTAATGAGAATAATAAATCACTGCTGTGCCTTCAAGTCAGATTGATCAGAGACCTTTTATTTACAAGCAAAATTCCTACTATTTTCAACTTATCTTTCATGTATCCGAGATGGTTTTGAAGATAGCTAAAATAATTATTGGCGCAAATTGCACGTCTTAATTATCATTTATATGAAATTTTAAGGTTGCTTAGATTCATCTGGTCCAGTATCCAACCCTGAGAGTATGATTTTTATATTAGGCGAATTCGTATCCTATTATTCCCTTAAATTTAACACTATTAAGTGACAAAGAACTATATTACAAAGTAGGCTCAAATGAAGTCGTGACATAGAATTGGCGTGACCATCTAGCTACAACAAGCGTGGTGCAAAAATGGTCTAACAAGGATATCATAAGCAATCCGTCTCACATAGTCCAAATGGATTTTGAGCAGAGTTGAAAAATACCTCGTCATACTTATTCGCTCCTTGAATCAGGGGCAAAGCTTCAATGTGCGTATATACTTGCAGACGATGATGGCCTGTCGTCCACATCAGTCTAGCTAGCATCATCAACGAGTACGAGAAGTATTGGATGGACAATAGAGTTTCTACAGCTTCTACGGTTTCGACAGTTTGACGGCTACACATTAAAGTTAAATAAAAATGTCATCTAGATTTATCGTTATAATATTAGAATGTTAATAAACGCATCATTTTTACGGATTTGAGTTTGATAGTAAAAATAACGAAGTATTTAATTAAAAAAAGTATCCGCAGCATAATGTACTTGAACAAGATTGCTATCATATAAGTAATTCATATTATATATATAGTTATTTCTCAGACAGTGCGTGACATTCAACCAACCGATGCTTGCAAGGAAGCATTATCGAAAAATGCGGATCAATTAAATGTGAAACAAGTCACAACAATTTGGTTTTTTTAGAGTAAACGAGTTTTACTCAGTGGAAAAAAAGTTTTTATAGAAAGTGAGCAACATTCTTTAAACGAAACGAACTACAACTTCTATTAGTTCAACATAATTGGAGCTGGCCAGAAGTTTCTCGAAATCGAACTTCACACAACTCAAAACACAAGTTCTACTTAAAAGTATATTGAGGGGATTATAATGAAGATAATTTTAAAATATATTAGTTCTGAGTTATGATAATAAAATGATTACTTGATTGCATTATATTTATCCTGTAACAACAACATGGTTGTGAATCGATTGTCTCCGAATCGGAGGATTTCTCACGTCCGGGTGTACTTGATCATGACGGCTTTTCAAATTAAATTATCTGACGATTCTGTAATAATTCGTATTGAAGAAAAAAAAGAATTTTGCGCACACTACTATTTTGTGTGCTCGCTCACGTTATTTGAAATTGCATTTTCTCCCCAAGTGGTCTAAAAAACAAAATGACCAATATATATTTGAAAAGCGTAATGTCTCGCCTCTTACTTTTGGCTCTAAATATAAATTTTATTCTTTTAATTTTTATATAGTGGTAAAATTGAATCGAATCAACATGAAGACCCAGAGATTTTAAATTTGCTTGTTGCAGCTGATGAATTACAATTAGATGATTCAGCAAATATTCAAAAATATTTGATCGAAGAAGAAACTGAATGGATACGTAAAGCAAGTTCTAGAGATTGTATTTAATTATCAAGCTTGCACCATTCTACGTGATTTCTGCCTCGAAACTATTTTTGATGATTCCAAGTTAATTTTTGAATCCAATGAGCTAATTTAACACAATGATTTCAGAATTGATAAAATTGAAACTTGTGAAAGTCTTATTAAATGGTGAATGCACAACATCATAACCTTTCTGATGATATATTTCAGATGTTGGGATGACATTTCAACAACTTGTTCCATTGAATAGATGGTCTCAAATAGATTCGCGGAATTTCCAACAAAGTTTTGCCCAAATTACTTATGAATAGTATACTCGAACATTACTCGTTACAATCAACTATAATGGCTCGAGTTTTACGTAATATTCTGAGTAGTAAATTTTAGAAAATACATATAAAAAACCTGATTTCATTATTGTGTTCAGAAGTATGTAGATAAAATGGTAAACTGGCTATCACATAACTTCTGATAAAAGTGATAAAAAAGATAACAATAATCCTCATTAACGTTAGTATGACACCCCGTTATTATGACATCCACGTTAGATTATACACAATTTAGGTATGGTAAAAAAATAAACATACCAAATCAAATTAATTATAAACTATCCTCCAAAATGTTCAATCATACCATACTTAAATAGGTACCGTATTTTTCAGCAATAGTACCCCGGGTCTCTTACATTCTAGGAACTCAAAAATTGATTAGTACCCACCAGATACTTTGTGAAGAGGAGGGTATATTATACGGGGGATACTTAACATGAAAGTCGTAATTTTGGCCCGGATTACACTAGTTTTGACCTGAATAATGCTAATTTCAGAAATTATAAAGGGGGATACTTTACATTCTACTCAACTTGTCACCGAGATTAGTACCAGGGTACTTTATCAAGTGGATATTTTATCAAGAAGGTACTAATTGCTGAAAAACACAGTATCACTGTTATACGTCGTTTTGGAATTCATGTCAATTCCGAATTGACGTGAATCCTGAAACGACGTATAACAAAGACATCAATACATTACAATTGCAAAAATACGATGTACCGTGACAATTTAAACGTAAACCCTGAACGTTTAAGGAACATATTGAACTCTCAAATAGCATCGACATAGCTTCAATAACCTCATTGGCAAATCGGACAGCGTACTCTCTGGTTGTTCCACAAATATGAACCAGGCAAAATTGGTGAATATCTTCTTAACTTCTAATCGCATCTCTCGACTTGAAGCCCTGGAAATTGAAGAAATCATTCGACGGATATGACGATTTCGAGCTCAATCTCAGACGTTGCTGTCACCGTTTAAATTCTCCAGATTACTGACTTTTTTTGGACAAGTAACGTTAATCTTCATCGAAACAATATAACACTTTATTTATCATATTACTTAGCACATTTTCATCAAAACAATATAATACATTTCATCAAAAAATATAGCACATTTTTCATCAAATATTTCATCAGAAACAATATAATATATTCCTTACCAATTAATACGCAAATAATTCATCAGATAAATTAGCAGTTCTTTTAGCATAATTAGTCCTCGCTGTACTGATCAAAAACTAGTAATATTAAGAACAATAATATATAAAGAACGACCCTCAAGCCACTAATAAAAATAGAATTTACATTGCGTACAATTATTCTCCAAGTCAATTAAGACTTGTAAATCT